GCGAAGTAATCCAGGTTTAGAAGAAGGGTGCACAGAACCGAGACCCATGGTCAGAAGATGGAGACAAGCTAAGCATCTGAAAGATGTGTTCTGGAAGAGATGGTTTAAAGAGTATATACTCACACTCCAATCAAGAGATAAATGGAAGAAGACATATCGAAATTTGCAAGTTGGTGATGTGGTTTTAGTTTCGGATAAGACTTCTACAGGTAAATGGCCTCTAGGAGTAATAGAAGGAGTAACATGCAGTAATGATGGGTTAGTGAGGACAGTGGAAGTGAGGACAAAATACGGCACGCTGACGCGAGATATTCGAAAATTATGCTTGCTTGAAGTACTAGAGAACAGACCAGAGATTGGACAATCCAACGATTTTCCAACTTAAGGCGTCAACCTGAGAAGCGTTGTAGGCGTACTGCTGTAAGTCCTACAATTCTTCAAGGGTAGTACGTCGAAGAGCAGTCAATCATACTTCGTGTATTATTTTGTACATATGTTCGTATTGTATATAATGAATTGGTATCATCCCTCTTCTATCTGTTGATTAATTTTGTTTGTGTCCGGACGTCTTCCACTTGGATCGTCAACCTGAGAAGGAATGTAGGCGTACTGCTGTAAGTCCTACAGTTCTTCAAGGGTAGCTCGTCAAGGCAGAGTCCGCAACATTTGATATATTGATTGTACATATGTTTGTGTTGAGTAATTCAGTGGGTTCCGATTCATCTGATTGTCGGTTAATTTATAGTTGTCGCATTGTGTGAATCATCTTGTAATGTTTTGTAAGTACTTCTGAATTCGCTTCTAAACTTGTGAGCGAATCGAGTAGAGTTAGAGTCAGCGTACGCGATTGGATACGCCGGGGAGAGGATTGGGCTAGAGTGGAATGAAGCAATCGACACTTTGTGAACGAGATCAGTGGTGGTATTGTCGTCAGAGAGCGTAGATCCCATGCGCCGGGGAGAGCGTGTCGGTGTGATGTGGTATGTTTGCTGTGTGTTGGGCTTTTTTGTCTTGCTTTTCCAATTTTAGCCTAGTCCCGATTGGCCCAGGTTCCCGCATTGGCAGTTCAGTTCAAGGTACCGCCGCTGTGGAAAAAAGGGATGGACCCTTTTTTGCCGAGGAGTGTCAATGGACGTGAACATTGAACGTTTGTTTTATTGGATCTGGCAGCCATTAATGGGCAACTGAAAGGCGCGAATGGTCGATCGCTTGCAAGTTGAATGAAGACTGGAGTTAAATACGAATAAAAGTACTTTATAACTTCATTTGTACTTAACATTTGTTTGTAGACTTTGTAGTTTTCTTCACTTTAATTGCCAAACAATATAATTTCGTTCAAGGAATACTGGTGTTTTGGATTTAAAGTTGAAGGACCTATATAGTATTTATCGGTTCAATCGACCACGTCTTCATTACAATAGGAACTTAGGGCTGAGTTCCTTGACAAACACTTTGGCGTTTGAAACTATGGGCACTGGGTTCGAGGCTCGGCGGGAACATCATCATCAGTCACTGGGGAGGAATGCAGGTACATCCACTGGATGATGAGTCCCAAATAGGATGAAATGAGCGTTATCCTGGACTCCACTGCTAGTCAACATCTACCAATTTAATTGAAATCATTGTGTGTCAAAGTTGTTTTGTTTCTTGTCATTTCCCGTTTATATTGATAATAACAGAGAGAAAAGTTCAGTCTCGGCTTCGATGGTTTGACAATATCTGAGGATTAACATAATGCTATATGGTAGTGGAATATATAATGAGGAACAATATACGAGGGTAGTGAGAAGACAGGAATACGTTGGACCGATGATAAGAAGACTTTGGAAGATCTGGATTTCGAGGCGGATGATTTATGCCTGTTGTCAAACAAATTCGAAGACTTGCAAGTAAGGTAAAAAACCAACAAACTGACTGAAGAAGCGGAGGGCAGAGAAGACAGGACTCCAGGTGAACGTAGAGAAGACGGAGGTGATGAATACAACCAACCGACAACAGCAACAATAACAACAACAACCAGCCCCAATCACCATCAACGGAAGAGATTTAACAGAGGTTACCTCCTTCACTTATCTAGGAAGCATCGTTTCAACAAGAGCTGGAGGAATGGATAACGATATCAAAGTCAGCCAGTCAGAATCGGAAAGGCAAGATACACCTTCAGTAGTCTGGAAGAGGTTTGAAAATCTTCTGAACTCACTATTAACAAGAAAATTCGGAATTGCAATACAAATGTTAAGTCAGTCGGTCAATTCTTCCATATGGATCAAAAACTTGGCGTGTGCATCATGGAAGGCATTTCCAACAGACATCTGCACACTTTTATCAACAGCTGCCTTTGCTCTATATTAAAGATCAAATGGCCAGCCAGAAATAATTAGCAACAAAAACTATGTGAACCTATAGTTCAACAAATACGTAAGAGGAAATGGAAATGGATTGGGTATACGCTGAGAAGGCCGTCGAATGACATCACGCACTAGATCATCGGTCGAGTGGAATCCCAATGATAAAAGACGAGTGGGTCATCCTAGGGAGACATGGAGGAGAACGTGGGAAGAGAAGTTGAAAGACTATAAGCAATTGTGGGCCCAGCTAAAGAGAACCGCAGAAAATAGGACAAAGTGGAGATGTGCTGTTCTAGCCCTAATTTCCAGTCGGAACTCAAGAGAATAACAATAATATAATATGGCTGAACTTGAGTCATGAGTACTGTGTGCAGGTCTTTGCAGAAACATTACCACTCAATGGGGATTGCAGGTACAGCCAGTTGACGAGTCCCAAGTACGACGAAATGCACACCCTGGTTAATTAGGTAGTTAGTTAGTCAGTTAGATCTCGTGTATCTTGTCTTCTCCACGTTACAGTACTACCCAGTTGCCCAGGTTCAAGTAGGTAGAGTAGGACTTGAACCCCCGGGTCCCACCTACCGAAAGTCGAGTATTTTAAGTCAATACGGCACATTTCGGATTCCACTCCTGGTCACCAACCACACCAAATAACATCATGAATTAAAAGTCAATCGGAAAGAAGAATATTCTCCTCTTCAGGTTCTTACGACTATAAACTATAATATTTGTTGTCGTTACAATAATGGTAGCCAGTTGTGCGGCGGATACATTTTTTAACGTAGAATAACAGATTAGTAATTCTGGGGTGTCAAAATAAATAGTACTATTTGTGTGACAAACGTGCTAGGCTGAAATCGATTGCAAAATATTGTGCAATCGCAGACAATGGGGGTGATTAGTCATAATAGATTTGTAGAGTGTGTGGTAGGCAAATTGACAAGTCAGGTGAGCGATAAAAGTGGTATGTATTATACAGCAGACTGCAATGAGAGGTTCATAGTGAAATAACGAATGCGGGAAATCAAATAGGTGGAGGCATATATGATAGGAAAAGAGATAATATTACTAACAGTAAGTCCGGATAGTATTAATGGAAACTTCGATAGTATTATTATTATTACTGTTCCCTTGAGTTCTTAGTGGGATATGGGGCTTCAACTGCACGTCTCCACTTGCTGCGGTCTTCTGCTGTACTTTTCACCTGCATCCATGTTAGTCCATACTGTTTCAGCTCCTCTTCACACGATCTCCTCCATGTCACCCTTCGACATCCCACTCACCACTTCCCTTTCGGGTTCCACTCGAGCGCTGGCCTGACGCGCGATGTCACCCAGCGGCCTCCTCAGCGAGTGTCCAATCCATCTCCACTTTCTCCTGCATATTTGTTGAGCGATTGGTTCCTGTTTTGTTTGTTCCCATAGCTTCTTGTTTGTGATTCTTTCCGGCCGGCCATCTGATCTTCAGTATAGAACGAAGACAGTTGTTGATAAAGGTCTGCAACAGGCTGTTGGAAATATTCTTTGTGACCCGCCAAGTTTCTGATCCGTATAGAAGAACTGACTGACTTGACGTTTGTATTGAAAATCCAAATTTTGTTGTTGATGCTGAGTGACGAAGATTTCCAGATTGGTTTCAGGTTGATGAATGTGTTTCTCGCCTTCCCGATTCTCGATTTGACATCCTTGTCCGTTCCTCCTGTAGTTGAGACAATGCTCCCTAGATAAGTGAAAGAAGTAACCTCTTTCAAATCCCTCCTGTTGATGGTGATTGGCGCTGGATGTTGCTGTTGCTGTTGTTGTTGGTTGGTTATTTTCATAACCTCCGTCTTGTCTATGTTCACCTGGAGTCCTGTCTTTGCTGCTTCTTCAACCAGTTTGTCGGTTTTCGCTTGTAAGTCTTCGATTTTGTGTGATATCAAACACAAATCATCCGAGAAATCCAGGTCTTCTAGGTCCTTCCCGTCGGGCCAGGATATCCCTGTCTGACGCATAATTCAGTCCACCACAATTAGGAATATCATTGGTGATAATAAGCACCGTTGTCTGACTCCTGTGTTTACTCCAAACGCCTCGCTGAGTTTTCCATTGTGGATCACTTGACATGTGCCGTTGTCGTACAGCTGTTGAATAAGGTTGATGAATATTTGGGGTACGCTGTAGTACTCGAGTAGTCTCCAAATTACTTCGCGGTCAACACTGTCGAAGGCCTTCTCAAAGTCTATAAAGTTTAGGTAGAGTAGTAACACACATCTCCAAAGACTTGAACATAATTTTGTACAAAACATTCTACAGATTACTCATTTCGATCAATCAGTAGTATATAGTTTTCTGCGAAAATATTTGCTTTCCTGATTACCATTTTCTGTATCAAGTAGATCATACAGACTGGGATCTGAATAAGTTGGTTTCCAAAAGAAACTACAGTGAAATTTCACTACTCGAACTGTGTAAAAATGCAAATTGCTAGCCAATTTTCAAATTGAGAATTTTGAAAGTCACCTCTAACATTACGATAAACTGGGTAGATGATGGCGTACTCTTAAAAAGTTCGTCAATCAATGTCAACCATCTTGTGTATCTCTAATTAATTAATTTCAATAAAGACTATCAACCCAATAAAAAAAGAGGGTAAGCTGCTAAAAATGCTTACTTGATCATCATTCGATTTACGTCCAATTCTCTCTCGATCAGTTCTATGCTTACGATCAGCTCCTTTCATTTTAAATACTTTAATTTGACAGCCAAATGATTCCAAGTGTTGATTAGTATCATAATCAAAATGATCTACCTAAAAGATAAAGGGAAACAGGGTAAGTTTAGGTTGAATGAAGAAGAAGAGGAAATTGATGATATTAGATGGTTGGAAGCAATCGGCCACAGGAAGCCTTGCTTGACGCCTAGGTTTCGTGCTAGTTGGCACTCACCAGTCAGCAAGGCGTATCTGCAACCACCTTGAAGGAACTCATGTCCCTTCTGAGATTCGAATCCACGTCACCAGCCAGTGCTGCAGCCAGAGACGTTACTATCACTGAGCTATTCGGGCTCGCGATTGATCTCCTGTAGGACTGTAGTGGATATTTTAATTTGACTCTAGTAACTAGTGTGATGTGTCTAGTCCTCTCTTTGGTGCAGACTGAATTCTATCAGTCAGGTTTGTAATGTGGCCACCATTCTAGGTAGCTCGCCATCACGGTGCACATTGGTTTGATGATATTAGATAGTTGAAGGCAATCGGCCACAGGAAGCCTTGGACCTAGGTTTCGTGCTAGTTGGCACTCACCAGTCAGCAAGGCGTATCTGCAACCTTGAAGGAACCCATATCCCTTCTGAGATTCGAACCCACGTCAGCTAGTGCTGCAGTCAACAACAACAAAAATGGAGTAGTATACGTAAATTAAATAACTCCAAGACTTGAATAACTTAGCATCATCATATATACATAATCGCGAGCCCTAATAGCTCAGTGATAGTAACGTCTATGACTGCAGCACTGATTGGTGACGCAAGTTCCCAATCTTATGGTTTCTTTCAAGGTAGTTGCAGATACGCCTTGCCCTGACTGACTGGTGAGTGCCAACTAGCACGAAACCTAGGCGTCAAGCAAGACATCCTGTCGATTGCCTCCAACCGTCGAACATCAACAATTCAATGTGCACTGTGATAGCGAGCTGCCTAGAATGTTGACCATATTGCATATCTGACTGATAGAATTCAGTCTGCACCAAACAAGGGACTAGACATATAACTTTAGCTCCTAGTGTCCAATGTAAGTAAATTCTACTTGCATATTATGATATATGAACTCAATGCAGGTTTGAATTTTCGAGGGGGTTGGATTGGGGCATCGCTTTATTCGAGGTTGTAGATACATTGGCTTGAGTAGTAGACTTTTAAGCAATAAGTCACGGGGTTTATAATCTGCTCCATGTGTGGTGAGAGCTGGCTGCTAGCCAAATTGGTAGTTGGTAATTTACGTCAATGTTTACGTCCTCAATATTGGTCGTGAGAAAAAATGAGAACAAAGACTGATTCAACAACCAACCACAGCAGACTTTGCGTAGGCGAATACAGTTAGCATATAGATGATTTGACATTCAAGAAACCGCCACAAAAAGATGAAAGATTAACTTTAAGTGAGAAACAACCAATCAGAAGACTGTGTTTTTCTGCTAACAATAATCTATAATAATGTACATGAAAAGCTACAAATATGTGTTGATTTCCTTAATAAACGAGCTGTTGCCTGGCCCTTGTCTTCTGTTGTTACACATGTACTTCAGAATCGGAGCAAGTAGTTCCTACCATCAGTTCTTGCACAATATGTACGGTTTTCAGCCTGACAGATGAGAAATTTATTCGGGATAATTGAGTTACCTATCTATCTAAGTTACGAATGTGCTAAATCAAATCACCTTCATATGCGATTCATTGGAGCTAAAATAATTCAGTGTAACTAACTGATTCCAATGTAGCACTTTGCATAGAAGTGCACCAGTTCAACTCGCCACACACCATTTAGCACACAAAGGAAGATAACAGGAGAAAAACTGAGATTCGGAAGAACTATAATAGGTAGAAATGTCAGGGAGAAAGATATGACATCACAGACAGTGAGTGCGTCTGCGCCAATTACAACAATTTTAAGCCATATCATCAGTTATCTACAGCCATTGGTAACTTCACAACTTCATCGATTGATTTCCTTTCCTTCCTTCCTTACCTAACACTCGACTACTGATGCCTAACCTCAAAATTACACACCCTATTATACCATTTAACATGGAAGACAGAACGCAGACGCCTATGATTAAGGACAGCTAGCCAAGCTTTTCATGTCTTCCACTTTCAATGGGCATGTCTCACTCACAGTCATAAAAAAGGACGGAGCGGGGATGGAGCAGTGCACACGTCCTTTGATCGATAGCCAGTGGAATATCACGTCTACGCCAGAGATGATGCAGGTTGACAAATGCTGCACGAACCTTTTGTATCCGTACATTCTATATAAACAGTAGTAAGATATGAAACAAAATTGGACACACAGGGTCTAGAACCATCCAACATACTGATTATCATTCAGGGTACCGTATATCAATTAGAAAATGATAAAATTCAAGATGAAGAGTTGTAGTTTAGACAATTAAAAAATATAATAAAGGCTTTTGTATTTACCAATGAATGAAAAACAAAACGATATAGCCGTTTTTACTGACGTTTCGTTATTTAATGCTAATAGCTATGAGTTCACCAGTCTCCCCAATAGTCGCTGACATTTTCATGAATAGATTCAAAGATAACATCTTTTCAAGCATACTCACTCCTAAAATATGGTTAAGATATGTAGATGATACTTTTGTAGTGCTAAAACGAAATCTACACAATTCATTCCTGGAGAAAATAAACTCTGTATCTCCAAGAATCCAGTTTACTTAGGAAGCAGAATCAGACATCGGTGAACTGCCATTTCTAGACTGCCTAGTTAAGAGGAGGGAAAACGGACATTTTAGTATATCCATGTTCAGGAAGAAAACCCATTGCAATGAATATTTAGACTTCAGATCATCATACCCCAGCAGCGCAAAGATTTCAGTTGTTTCAAGTCTTCTTAGACGAGCACACTCTGTGATAACGGATGAGAAAAAAAAAAGAAGAAATATCAAACATTTCTGAAACTCTCAAGCAAAACAACTACCCAAGGAACTTCATCAACAAAATCAGCACTGACATTAAGTATCGTCGAAAACATATTCCGAAAACATGGACCTCAACAGTTGTCATTTTATATAGAGAGGAGACGTCAGACGATATCAGAAGAGTACTCAATAAGCTCGACATCACAGTTTTCTTCGGAACATCGGACACACTGCGAAACAACCTTGTCCATATAAAAGACCAAATCCCTAAAGATGCCCTATCTAATTGTGTCTATAAAATAAAATGCTTCCTTGGAATGTGATGCGATATACATCGGACAAACATCTCGAGAAATCAAAATCAGAAGAAATGGACACCGTAGAGCATCTGTTCTACCACCATGAAATCCAGTTAGTGAACTAGAAAAGCTTGAAAAATCATCAGCCATAGGTGGTCTACACGGCATAGAATCAGGTCACAAAATTGATTTTGACAATATTGAAATAATCCAAAAAAACTTCAGAATCACAAAGAACGTCATATCAAGTGGAATCCAAATTGTCTGATGAATCGGAATGATGGACTAAAACAGAATTTGACCTGGTTACAACTCTCCCATACCCCACGAAGTGACAAAATCAATACGAACGTGATAAGCAAGTTCACTATGTAAACACACACTGTTTTTATTATTCTACACACTTATCAAATCCAACAATATACACCTGGTTTTGTTACCTTTACCAATCGGCCAATTTGACAACGCAAAAATGCCCCCATAGTGAGGAACGATGATTAAGTTGTTATATATAAGCTGAGGAGATTTTGTAAATTCTGGTTTAATAATACTACTTTGATAAAGCTATTAGCAGCATTAAATAGCAAAACGTCAGTAAAAACGGCAATATCGTTTTGTTTTTCATTCATTCACTGGGAAATACAAGAAAACCTTTATTATAATGAATATCACATATACCCAATGCCCAAATTCTTTTCAAACTGTTAAAAGAGTGAACTTGTTTTGGACATATATAAATCAAAAGAAAATATAATACATATATATGGTAAAAACCATTCAAAGTGCACCGTGATGACAACAAACCACTTAGTCTGTTGGTGGCCACATTGCAAAAAAAGTAAAACGAAGAACTATACAAAGGATATTTGGTTACTGTCTAGTATTCAATACTACTATATATACGGAAGAGACAATACAGAAACGTGATCTTATCATTAAGATTGATTACGTCATAAGAATCGATTTTAAGACATAATCACTTAGAGTGAATGAGACTAATGGTCCAATAAATTCCAGTTAGACAATCAGTAAAACAAACACACTATTAACATTTTTGTATGGCTGAACTGAAACCAAAAAAGATATACACAGATGTGTATATCTGTCGAGTGTAAATATTATTTGTACACCTGTCGTGAAGAAAAAGAAAGATGTGATACCATCATATCATTATTATTAGCAATTTTCTAACTGAATCAATAAACTGAAAAAATCTTTTTGATTGCACACTAGTCAGTCAGTAACTAGTGTAGTGTGTGGCTAGTCCTATCTAGTCGGTGCAGACTGAATTCTATCAGTCAGTCATGTTTGCAATGTGGCCACCATGCCACTAGGTGGCTGGCCATTACGGTGCACTGTGAATTGTTGGTAATAGATGGTTGGAGGCGATACATTTTTAACGTAGAATAACAGATTATCAGTTATAGGGTGTCAAAATAAATAGTACTATTTGTGTAATGACAAACTTCGTGCTAGGCTGAAATCGATTACAAAATATTGTAAAACGGGAGACAATGGTGATCAATCATAATAGATTTGAAGACTGTGCGGTTGGGGAAATTGACAAGTCAGTTCAAGGTTATAAAAGGTGTCAGGTGAGGGAGTGGCTAGTACAAAGTAGTATGTATTCAAAAAGAGATAGTAAGACTGCAATGAGAGGTTCATCATGAAATAACGAATGTGGGAAATGAAATAGGTGGAGGCATATATAATGGGAAAAGAGATAATATCACTGATAATAAGGCCGGATAGTATAAATGGAAAATTCGATAGTATTGAGAAAATGTTTGCATGAAGGGTATAAATTATGGCGAATAATAATAAGAATAATCGTAATAACAAACAGAGAAAAAAACCAAGAGGGTTAAGAGGAGAAGCACTCTTGTTGAAGAAGAAGAATCATCAGTTCAAGTTTGGCCACGGTAGGAACAGCGTCTGGACGTGTTTTTTGGGGGGATACGAAGTTCCGGATTAGTCGATCTTATTGCAACAGCTTCAGCTATGCGTAGGAGACGTGAGCGAAATGTACGTGGTAACGACTTCGGAATTCGATATATAAGCTGTGTTGATATCGATGCTATATCCAGTATCGACCAAATATGAAAGGATTGTGCTTTTGTGCACTTAATTTCTCCCTTGCTGAACCAAGTTGTTAATATTGTAAGGACAATAAATATTATATTTTCTATTTGTGTTAGGTTAGCATCCTATTGAGACATCACGACTTCCTGGATTGGGTGGGGTCCAAGAAACGAATCCGAATCAGTGGCTCGAGACATCATCAGAAATCGCAATCAACGGTAAGCCTATTGCAATTTCCTCCATTCTTTTCTTTCTAAAAATTAACTTGAAGTAATCAACACCAGTTGGATGCTTTCGCCGCGATATGCACGCTTGATTGTTTTCATGATCCTGTTACTCATTCATTCTACTTCTTTCTTCTTTCTTTGTGCGGCGCACCACTTAGTGCCCACACTGTATATGCAGCAAGGTGTACTACTAGACAGATGTTTCATCCTAGTCTGCGACTCTTCAACAATAAACACCCATGACTCCACTGGGGATAAAATCCAGGACCTTTGAGTTACAAGACAAACTCGTTGATCATTCTTCAGCCACCGGGACGGAATCTAACGAACGGCCCAGCAATTTTTAACTATGGGACAATTCGCAATATTAATCGCAACCGCCAGTCAGTATCCAGCAGTACCACCAAGTTCTTCCTGGTTTTCAATGGTTCTCTAATTGAAATCATTAGGTAATTAATTTTGAAATCAATCAAATCGCTGTAAAGTAACACCTGACAATAATTCTAGTGCTCGCTAATGACTCACAGCCAAGTTAAAGTACAACGATTCAAGAGTGCGAACGCACCAATGACCTTGAATGCATACTAATCGTAATGGGTATGAGGGAATCGAGGCGCATTTTCCTAGTGAATATTTGTCGATCCCTTTACTAGAAGCGAAATTAATTCAATCAAGGGCTACTGGGGAGGACTGAAAAACACAATAGTAGTGACAAGTCGGTCATAAAAAAACGGAATCCTCTTCAGTTACCTTGATGAATACATGTACAGTAAGTGTGGTTTAACCTAAAAACTGATACTCCTCATTATAATTGGGAGACACTCCTAAGTCATATCACGGAAAAATATCCTGTTTAATGTGTGCTTAATCATTACTCCTTCTGTATTTCCCTTATAAATAGACGTCGTTTTCACGTAGAAACCACTGGTTTTCCTGATTGGTCATCGCCTCCAGGTCAGTTTAACTATGCCTGACTCATTACACGCTGAAATTGTCTGAAGTTCTACTAGTAAGACGTTGTAACCAGTGGCGTATTCCACGGAGCCGGGTATGTGGACCCCACAGACACCCCAACAGCAGTACGCACCCACTGCGGTTCGATCCCCAGGACCTTCCGGTTACAAGACAAGCTCGTATACCTTTCAACCACTGGGACCCAATCCAATAGCCGGTGCATGAATTCTAACTTCTACCCACCAACACCCAATGTTATCGGTGGGAAATCCAAACCTACTCCCAACTGGATGCACCTCACATATCAAGACTTCTCACTAGAACTCCAGGAAACTCTGTCCTGTAGCAAGTCACTAGCGAGCATTCGATTTATGTAAATAGCTTATATACAGATAGATAGCTTTATGTATGAAAAATGGTGCGCGTTTGCAGATTTACCTGCTCCTACAGAGAAAGTTATAAAGGGTGAACAACTAGACAGCTCAATAAACGTATCACTGAGCATCTTCCTACATAGTTCAGAAAAGGTCAAGTAAAATCCATAAATAGTTCTATTTCGTCTCATTTCATTGATGATAGCGGTTACCAAGTGGGCAGAAGAAGAAGTGCCTTCAAAGTTACCTATAAAGCATTCCATCGAAACTTTCGAACAGAAGTTGAACCCGCCTTTTACACATAACTGAAGCTATGGAAATTCCAGAGAACAATCCTAGTGCCTTTGCATACAACAAAAGAAGTTTGTTCTACCATCTGTCTCTTCCTTCTAATTAAAACCTTCCCACTCTTTTTTATCCTCCATTTCCTTCGTACTTTTATGATATTTATTTAAACTCTGACTATCTGTCTACTTCACCTACCTTTAGTATTATGTAACTTTTAAGATTTGACCTAATTATTTATTTATTTATTGAATTGTCTACATATACACATATCACTCACTACCTTTGTTATTCTTGCCGTCACCCGCGTAAACCTTACTATCATTACTTTTGTTATCATTATAATCATCGTTATTACTGATGTTCAAAACACCTAACACATTATTATTATTATTATTAACTAATCGATCCACAAACTCACCGTCATTGGTTAATTTTTTTATATTCAAAGAGCTATGTAAAATAGAGTAAAGCCTGAAGAAGAAGATCTAATTGAAAACAACAATACTGTCCGCTTATATGTCCTGCTCTGATATGGCTTTTTCCTAATATAAAAAGTCGTAACCTAACAGTTACAGGTCACAGTCTTAGTCTTATGAATTTTTTTTATTGCAGCTTGATTCCAGACCGTATTTTTGGTACGAGTATATGGAATTTTCAGCATGTGATATCGGTAGCCCAAATTTTGCAGGCCAACCATTGATATCGGGTGTGCGTCGGCAGGGGATCGAACTCTGGACCATGTGCATGGTCGGCGAGCGTCCTAACCACTGTGCCACCGACGCCTGGTTCAGTGAAGCGCATGCTATTAAGCGAGGAATAGGCATATATCTAGCAAAAATCAATTGAGTCGACCATTGCATAACAATGTTACTATGCCCACTTGCGCGTCCACTCAATCATAACAAAAGAGTAACCAACTGATCAATAATACTGAAATACAACAAATAATAATTCAAGGAAATACAATAATCTTACCTGAAATCTAAAAGGAATTCCTTTCTCTCCACCGTGTTTCTTAGCAGTGAATTCTGTACTAACACAATTGAATCGTAAACCAATACTACAAGTGGGATATTTCCAAATGCATAATATCACATCGGATGATAATTTCTCCATATCTAACTCTTCATAATCACTCGATTTATCATAATCTTTTTTAATAATATGAAAGTTATGGAAGGAGAAGAAGAAGGAAAAGAAAAAAGAAAAAGGCATGTTTAAGAGTTGAAAACATTCAGTTAGCTAGGGAATTTATACGAATTGTTCAATTGGCTCATGGGTTTTAGGATTAGGGAGTAACTCTGTGACTCTGTACAGTATGATGTAAGTCTTACACATGTGAGGAAGAAAGTCGCAACCAGCTTGCATTTTTTTAGACATACTTTTCTGAGTCGAAGAGATAATGGTTCAATAAAACGATCAATCTACAGAAAGCCCACTTGGACAGGGCAGTACCTTAATTTTCACAGTTCCTGTTCATTACAGTATGAGAGAGGCATGGTGAAATGTCTATTTAAGAGGATTCAACGTATTTGCACAGCTGATGTTATAGACAAAGAAAATGAAATATTGATGGATAGATACTCTTGTTGAAAAAGGATATCCTCTAAAAATTTTAAACAGGCGTAGAAGTCAATTAGTCTTTAAACCTACAATCTATATCGCCCCTAAGATAAATGTCTTCATCAAATTATCATATAACGGGGAAATAAACAGTAGGATTTTGAGACAACGGTTGAATTCGATCATCCGTAGAACCTATTATGCACAGCCCGGCTTGTAATTATTGTAAAAGCTAAAAATATGCTCCACTGCAAACCTCAAAAGTGCACAGGTGATTATGTCATGTCCCACGCTATTTACCAATTTTCGTGTGTGTGTGTGTGGACACACGTACATAGGGAGGAGTAATCGTGCTTTGCATGTGAGGGTGGAAGAGCATAACCCAAAATGGTTAGAAAAACAAATGAATTGTGGAAAACCAATAGACGCAGGTGTCAGACTACCAACTTCGTCTTTAACCAAACATCTAATCGAGATGAACCATAAGACTGATGTTAACTCAGCCTTTGAGGTCATCTTTAAAAACGGCCAAAGGCGCTTATTGAAATAAGCTGAGGCTATAGCTATTCATGAACTTAAGCACACACACCCCTATTTTGTATTCATAAACAGTTTATTATTATTATTTTCTTTAATTCCTAGAGGAACATAGGGCTTCAGCTGCATGTCTCCATTGCGTTCAGTTCTCTGCTAACGTTTTCATCACCTGGCTCCATGTCTGCCCACATGCTTTCATCTCCTCTTCACAGGACCTCCTCCAAGTCACCCTTGGACTGACGACCAACTCGTCGCTTCCCTTTCGAGTTCCACTCAAGGGCTTGTCTAGTGATATCACTTGATGGTTTCCTCAGAGTATGGCCAGCCAATCCATCTCCATTTCTTCCTGCCTATTTGTTTCACAATCGGTTCCTGGCTGGTTGCTTCGCTCCCAGAGATCTCTATTGCTGATCTTTTCTGGCCATCTGATCTTGAGTATTGAGCGAAGACAACTGTTAATGAAGGTCTATAGTTTGTTTGAGATGCTCTTCATGACGCGCAGTGCAAGTCTCTGATCCGTATAGTAGCACTGACTGACTTCACATTGGAGTTGAAAATCCGGATCTTATCTTCGTTTTGATGCTGAGTGCTGTTGACCTCCACACAGACTTGAGAGTGATGAAAGCTTGTCTTGCTTTCCCTTGGTAATTCTTATTTGTCTATAATTGGTTTGTAAGGATTAGTTTTGTTTTTACGAGTTGATCACGGATTGATATCAGTTAAAGAACCATTGAAAACCAGTATTGTAGTACTGGACAGCTGTTTCATTCTAGTTTGGGAATCATCGACAGTACGCATCCACTGGGGTTCGAACCCAGGACCAATCCTTATTTGATTGGATTACCAAACGTTGTGTTAATCATTCTTAAATCCTTTTTTTACTCACTTTGTTTAATTTAAGTGCCCTTAATTTTTTCAATAAATATCGACTTGACACGTAAATGTGTGATCAGATTATTCGAAATGTATAGCGCAAACACACCCCATCACATTTTTCAGATAATCTCCGTCTTCTAATAACACTATCCAAATTTACAAAAGGGACTAATTGTTTTAAAGTTTTAAATTCTCCCCTGGTTTCTGATAATATGTCAAAATTGATGTAAAAGAGTTATTTCATAATGACTGGACTACTTACTCCAAAGAGCTTTGATAACAGTGAGATTACATGGCTGGAGGCAATCGGCAGGAAGCCTTGGACCTAGGTTTCGTGCTAGTCAGCACTCATCAGCAAGGCGTATCTGCGACCTCGAGGTCATTCGCGAGCCAGCCTGAATAGCTCAGTGGTAACGTGTCTGACTGCAGCACTGGGTGATGCGGGTTCGAATCTCAGAAGGGATATGACTTTCTTCAAGGTTGCAGATACGCCTTGCTGATGAGTGCCAACTAGCACGAAACTTAGGTCCAAGGCTTCCTGCCAATCACCTCCAACCATCTAATGCCAACAATTCACAGTGCGCCGTAATGGCAGGCCACCTAGCATGGTGGCCACATTGCAAGCTTGACCGATAGAATTCAGTCTGCACCGAAGATAGGACTAGACACATTACACTAGTTACTGACTAGTGTCCAATCAAAAATAACAGTGAGATATCTGACCGGTATCTTTAATTATTCAACTTTACAGTTAGAGAATGTCAAAGACAAAATAAACAAGGATCACGGCTTCTATAACTATACTTGCCTTCGTCCCACCGATCACATGTACACCAACAAAATGTTAAGTTATCATGACATTTAATGTATAGCGTGTAATACATGCTCTAGGCATCTCAATCAATACAGCTGCATAACCTCATCGATTAATTCCCCCCGTCTCCTTACCTAAACTACGACGACGCCTAACCATCTCAATATTATCCAGCCAATTATATCAACCTAACGTGGGAGACAACGAAGACACCTATTAGCAAAGATAGCTAGGCAGGCCCTTTAACGTCCTCCACATGTAATGGCCACGTCTCAAAACCATAAAGGAGGATCGAGCGAACTGCCGCTGAGCAGTTCATGAGTTGGTAAACGTCATATGGAGACTTTTGTATCCGTGCTTAGATTTTGTCGGCAAGCGACCCATTGACTCAGTTCACTACCAATCTTCAAGTTAGGAATCGAAGTAGTCCAGTCCTGTAGCATCATCTTACACATTTTGACAGGAGCAACTCGCATATCAAACACTCAAAGTCCTTCTATACCTAGAAGGACTAAATCATCCGCATGCTCTAAGTCAACGAAATTATACCCTGGTAACAAGTGAATATCCAAGTCGCTGAAGTCAATTAGGGTTAATTCTATTAGTAAGCGTATTATGAAATTAAATAGATATATGAGGAGAGTCAGTATCCCCGACTGACATCACTGGTTGTCATCACTTCACATGACAACTCTCCATAGGCTCTCACATAACTACATGAGTTCGAGCAGAGCGCCTTGATGGGTTAGACATACTCTAAGGAGGAGACTGTTGAGTGGGAAATGATGAGTTCACTGTTGATCTGAGGGGTGACATGAGGGAGATTGTGTATGAGTAGGAGATGAAAGCTTATGACCAATGGTGGGACAAGTTAAAACAGACTTCAAAGAACAGAATGAAAGAGAAATGGACTTCTGAAGTAAATCAAAAAGATAATTGAGTCTTACCTATATCCAGAAGATTTTCACCGGGATGTATCTGTCGCCATCCATTCCAATATTCACGTTCTTTCATTTCCATCTGCTTGTCATGAAATGTAACTCGAATATACGTCTACACAGGAAGAGAGAAGGAAAGAAAGGGGGGAATATTAAAATCAAATATGGACACGTGTAACATAAAAACAAACTAAAGAATACAAAATACTCCGTAAAATCTTGAAGATTATCTATCCCTTTAATTGGTGGATGGTGACTAGCAGTGGAATCCAGGAAAACGCGCATTTCGTCCTATTCGGGAATCGTCAACTGGATACATCTGCATTTCCCTGTGAGTGAGTGGTGAGTGAGTGAGTGAGTGAGTGAGTGAGTGAGTCATGAGACTCTGACCTAGTACCCATAGTTTCAAACGCCAACGCGTTATCCACTAGACTATTTGAGCCACAAGAGCCACCTCTTGTGCAAAGGGGTATCAGTAATTGTTGAATTCAATTCAAGTTGAATAATCAGACATTGTCGAAGCATCTGCACAAGGAGCCGCCGACATGTCAACCTGATGCCGAACACTTCGATCCGATAAATCAACAGAAAAGTTCAAATTGCAAATTTAACCATGTTTACAAAAGGATAAGAACTGCTATCAACGTGTAACCCTACTTGAAACGAATCAATTCTCGACAAAATAAACCCTTGAAAAAAGAAACTATATAAAATACAACCCCACTGAAGAAAACAAGAGAGAGAAAAAAGTCAACTAAAATACACCCACTGAATTACCTTGATATATGTGATTTCTGGGGTTTTTAAATTCAATTTCAGTTCATATGTCTGTCCTGTAAACAAACAGAAAGTAAATCATCCAATAGCAGTAACGTGGTCAAAGTTGATCACATATGTTAAAAATGTCAACAATAGTGAATGAATACTAAACGACCATTAGAATTTGTTATCTAATTGTGTGTGTTTTTGTGTTGGTTAACAGTGTGGCCACACACACCATGGTCTTGAGTTCGACCCCTCCCACCCCGGTCGAAGCACTCCTACACCACACTTAGCAAGTAGTAAGCCAGGTGAAGAGGAAAGGTTGAGCTGGTGGCTAGCAACCCCACCCCGTACTAAAAACAAAAACATCTCCGCTGCTGGAAGTTTAAACCTCAAGCCTATAAGTTAATTTAACCTCATCAGAGATAAGAGGGACTCATTCACAATGAGGGCCATCTACTCGTCAAATCGTTAACGGCCCATGAATTCCAACTTCTACCGATTCATGACATATATATTTATAGCGCAACTGCTTGACAATGTCACATATGGTCCCAATGGTTGAATGATCTACGAGTTCACCTCGTAACCGGAAGATCATGGGTTCAAACCTCAGTGGGTGTGTACTGTTGAAGGGTCCCAAACTAGGGTGTAACAGGTGTCCAGTACTCCCTACAGGTTTTCCTCCAATGGTCCTCGAACACTGATGTCAACTCGTGAGCAAACCTGTAAGCACTGATCGAATCCCAGCAAATTAACACTTGATAGAATCACTATTAGCTCGTCATATTCATTTCAGAACCTAATAATAATAATAACGCAACAGATATAATAAATACGTAGCTGTTTGACCTCAATTACCCGGAACCGGTCTTTCACATGTATGTACCAGACTGACAGGCATATTTATCGTGTGAAGGTCGATTATACCACCTAGTTGCCTAGGTTGAAGTAGGCAGAGCACAGGACTCCAGTCTGTGACATTTGGATGCAAACCAACCCTCTTAAGCCAAGGAGCCATAGTCTCTACTTAACCAAAGGCCAGCAAGATGTTTCTGCTGATTTCTGTTTGATGTAGAGCTTAAAGGCGACATTATATCAGAGGAAACAAACATATTTTGACTTTTTTTCGCCAAAATACTGCCCACCCACCGCCTCAACTGTTAATAAGATAATTCTAAGCAATGTATTATACTCTATGAATGTGTAGTTGACGCATTCATATATAACAAAAGTTGAAAATGACGCTTAATTTACATCAGTTGTTACATATAGAGCCAAATTGTAAAATTTGGATGGTTGCAGGTTTTAAAAGAGAAACACTAGTAAACACGTATTAGAGAACGAAAACAGGATTTAAAAACCATGTTTACGAAAATCTGTAAATGCATCAAATGAAAATTTCTAGAGGTATGTAAATGCATCAATCTGTTGAGGCATCCGTTGCACAGTTAACTCCACAGTGAAGTGGTAGAACACGTTGACCGCTTCACTTATTTGGGAGAAGTTGCATCAGCCAGTGCCAACGGGTTGATCACTGCGTCGGTGGTACAGCGGTTAGGACTCTCGCCGACCATGCACATGGTCCGGAGTTCGAACCCCCACCGGCGCACACTTGATATCTATGGTCGGCCTGCAAAATTTGGGCTACCGATATCACATGTTGAAAATTCCATACTTGTACCAAAAATACGGTGTGGAATCAAGCTTTAATAAAAAAAAAGAAATCTCAGCGCGGATACAGAGGGCTAGTTTCCTATATGCCAGTTTACGCCATCTCTGGCGTAGACATGATATCCGGCTGGCCATCAACCAAAGGGCGTGTGTACTGCTCAGCAGTCCCCTCCGTCCTCCTTTATGGCTGTGAGACCTGGCCATTGATAGTGGAAGATATGAAAGGCGTGGCTAGCTGTCTCTGATCACAGGTGCCTGCGTTCTATCTCTCGTGTGAAGTGGTTTAGTAGGGTAAGCAATACTGAGTTTAGGCATTGGTCGAGTTTTAGGTAAAAAGGGGAAATAAATAGACGAGGCTGTGAAGTTACATCGACTGAGATGGTTAGAACATGTGTTACACATGCCCAGTCTAGGCATCGCCTTCCTCGACGGGCAATGTTAGCTGACTGACATAGGGTCAGGCTGGAAAAGAGCTGGCGGCGGTCAAACCAAAACATGGCACCAGTCAATGAAATCCACAACAGTTAGTTTAAGCCAGCCACATCGGGAGGTGTAGACTTCCTAGTTCGGGTCCTCGGGATGGTAAACACCAATGGCCGGAGACAACTGGTGGGTGATATGGCTGAAAATCGTTCTCAATGGATGGTGCAGATCCATCCACTCCTTGTGACTTATAATTTCCAATGAAACTATATTGTTCTTCGTTATTACTATTCCTTTTGTCTCATATCCCTGTTTACTGTCTATATTTTGCATTTCTTCTACTTTCTTCCCTTTGTTTGTGTGGTACAAGGAGTGGAGTGTGGCGACTTGAACTGCTGCACATGGGTGCAAAGTTCTATGTCCAAAACAGACAGACTTTTCAAATTGACTATTGTATTTATTTTTATTATTCTCTTGGGTTCTGAGTGGAACATGGGCATTCAACAGCACATCTCTATTTCACCCTATTCTCTCCAGTCCTCTTCACTTCAGGAGGTCCTGCGATCGACCATAAGCTTTCATCTCCTCCACCTCACACGATCTCCTCCACGTCATCCTTCAGACAAACGCACAACTCGGTGTTTCCCTCTCAGGTTTCACTCAAACGATGGCTTGACGCGAGATGTCACCCAGCGGTCTCCTCAGTGTGTAACCGATCCCTCGCCATTTTGTTCCCCATATTTGTTGAGCAATACGTTACGGTTGGTCCATTCCCATATTCTTTTTCTTTCTAATTCTTTTTGGCATGCAATCTGAACATCAACATGGAGCCAACGAAGGCAACTGTTGATAAAACTCCGTAACAGACTGTTGGAAATGCTTTTCATGACTCACTGGCTAAGTTTCTCACCCATATAGAAGAACTGATTGACTTACCATTGGTGTTGAAAATCAGAATTTTATTCTTTATGTTGCTGAGTGCTGAGGATTTTCAAACTGATCTTACCAAAGTGATGAATGCCTCTCTTGCCTTTCCGATTCTGCTTTTGTGATATCCTCATCCATGACATCTGCAAGTAGTTGAAACGAAACTTCCTAGATATGGGAACGAAGTGACCTCTTTCAAATTTATTCCGTTGATAATAATTGGCGCCTGTTGGTTATTTTTATCACCTCCGTCTTCTCTATGCTTACTTGGAGTCCTGGCTTTTGCTGCCTGTCTCTTCTGACAGTTTGTTGACATTAAACATAAATCATCCATGAAATCCAGGTCTTCTATAGTCCAAAAGTATCCCTGTCTTCTAGATTTCCAGGCTCTGGCTATCGTATAATTCAGTCCACTGTAGGTTGGCAGTAGTAAGGATTCTATTCGTAAGATATCGAATATTGAAAATGCGCTGAATTGCGAATTTTGCGTCAGTTTGCGAAAGTCGTATGAGGTTATTGATCAAAATATATTAGCACTAAACATATGTTTTGCGTCAACCTAGAACTTTTTAACAGCGCATATTAACCTACATACGGTAACTTGGATTACTAAGGAATAATACAAGGTATCGCGTTGATCAGGGCGTGTCTTTGCTTTGAGTTACAACTAACATTAGAGATAAAAGAATAAAAAGTTTAGCAAAGATAAGTGTCTTTTCGACATTTCATTCTCTAAAGTTTACATGGACACAGTTAGTATTTTACTACACATAATATCGAAGGAGGGGGTAAAAGATGATAGTTATTTCCAACTTGATACAAAAGTTCGATGGTATGAATATAGATTTACAAGGGGCTTAGAAACAAAATTATGCCAGATTAGAAAATAGTTGCGTTATTTGTGAGACAGTTTTTTTTAACGAATGTAGGTGTGAACGGGAAGAGCACAGAAACAAATGACTGACTGAGTGACTGGTTTCAACGTAGAACTTCGTACAGATGTGCAGCAGTTCCAGTTACCACACTCTCACCGTGCAACACACAAACCAAGAGAAGAGAGTACAGACAGATTCGAAAGAGAGATGATAAACAGAAATGAAGCAAAAATAATAGTGATATGAAAGAAGAATAGACTTTTATTGGATGATATGACAAATCACAAAGGGTGAATACATTTGCGCCAGCCATTGAGAACGATTTTGAGCCATACCAGCAATTGTCCCCAGCCATTGGGTTTTACCAGGAAGTTAGTCAACACTTCTCTACGTGGCTTAAACTAATTGTTATGGATTTCATCCACTGATGAAAACATGTTTTGGTTTGACCAGCACTAGCTCTTTTCCAACCTGACACTATGTCAGCTAACATTGGCCATTGTCGAGGAAGGCAGGCGATGACTAGGCATCCGTAGCACATTTCCTAACCATCTCGGTCAATCAGTGTAACTTCACAACCTTGTCGATTGATTTCCCCTTTTTGCCTAAAACTCGACCAATGCCTAACCTCAGTATTGCTAACCCTGCTATACCACTTCACACGGGAGATAGAACGCGGACACTTATGATCAAAGACAGCCAGCCTTTTCCCATCTTCCACTTCTAATGGCCATGTCTCTCTCACAGCCATAAAGGAGGACAGGACGAACTGGTTAGCCAGCCGGATATCACGTCTACGCCAGTGATGGCGTAAGTTGGCAAATGCCAAACGAGCTTCCTGTATCCATGCGGAGATTTAGTCAGCGATCAACCCGTTGGCGCTGGCTGATGCAACTTCTCAAATAAGTGAAGTGGTCAACACGCTCTACCAATTCACTTCTGTCTATCTTTAAGTCGGGAGTCGATGCAGTCCAATCCAGTCCAGTCCTGCAGCATCATCTTATATTTGACCGGAGCGAAGCGCATGCCAAACATTCAAAGATTGCTGCTCCTCAGGGTGTTCAAAAGACCCTGCATTTTGTCAGCATCTTCACCTAGGAGGGAGGACTATATCATCTGTATATTCTAAGTTAACAAGACTACTCTTCCATGATAACAGACTAATCCCTAAGTCGATGAAGTCAGTTAGGGTTAAGTCCATTAGTACGTCTACGATGAAATAAAACAAAAATGAGACAGAAACAAATTGAAATAATATTTTTTGTAACTGACATTTAAAAAATGAAGGGAATGAAAAAAAACGCAGAAAAAGAAAACTAAGGAGTCAAACTGAACTAGATCCATGGTGAATGTAGAGCTTGAACTAGTCTCTTTTGAACACATAGCTCCAACTTTTCAATGCATATGGTGAAGGCTTTCCTAGCACAAAAAAGCTGGAAAAAACACTGCCTTTGGTTGATTTTTGTTTACTTTGTAAACGACCCTGAATGATAAATCAGTTGAGATGTTGGGACAGATGTCGACAACGTGTTCACTTATGGCGCTTCTGATTGAACTAATGCCTCCTCTTTGTAGCCATACCGTTTTAAAAGGACCCACACATAAAACGATCTATGTACCTAGCTCTGCACGAGCAGGTGAACTGATATATTTACACTGGAGTAGTCATATGAGGAAGTTTATCCTCCACATTGCTTAGAAGACAGTGAGTGTCTAGAGAATATCACTGTGTTGCTGCAGGAACTGTCTTCTTTAGAAGACTAGAAATTCTTCTGCTTAGGATATCTACGCCTCCCCTGAAATTCAGAATCAGATACAGTGTATCTGTGATACTGAAGTGCATTCTTCTCTTTTTGGTTTTGGTTTAATGTTCTCCACGAAACGTGCTGGGCATCCATTTTGAGGCATATACCATAATGTTTCCAGAAATTAAGGCAGCTGATCTCAGGCCCCACTCGGATAAAAACACACTAACAGAATAATAATAATAATAATACGACGTCACTAACTTCCACACCACAACTCCACTTCATGCGCTAACTACTACTGGTTTTCGCCACTAGGCTTTGGGCTGACAATCCACAATGATGATTGTATGCCTTAACTAAACAAAACATTCACCTGATGCTTACTGGGCTTTCAAAAGCTCTTTACTTACTATTAATCTAGTGAGATCAATTTCGATAATAATTAAAAAAAAAGAATTCAACTAACCTTGATTAAGGTAAGTTAAAGATGCTTCACCGAGTCGAGTAACTGATGATGTTGGAGCCACTAAAATATTACCAAATAATTGTGGGCTTGTATCAGCATCAGTGATGGATGCAAACATATCAGCGCTTAAAACAAAAAGAAATTTTAAAAAAAAAGAAGCAATAATTTATCCAAATAGTGCACATGTGTAAAATCTCTTTTAAGTTGTTTTTTATACACACGAGTCAGTCCCCTGTGGTAGTAGATTAGCATTTTTACTGATATAAGTATAAAACTTGAGCACTGTGGTAGAGCATAACTCCATTATGGATAAGATTTTATTTTGATAAATCACACAGTGGTGTTATGCAGTAATATTAACTGATAACCACGTTTCGAGCACAAACTATTGCTCATAATCATATCAAGTTACTCACACAACTTTTTCCTTCATTTATATACATGAGTGAAATTGATGATTAGACATTTGAATAAAATCAATATAGGATAATGTACATTCAGAAATAATAATATTAGTGTTATTGATCAATTACAATCAGTTGGGAAATAGGACGAGTGTTTTAACAGTCAAAATAAGTAACTTGTTAGAATGTTATGATGTATGTGAATTGAATTGAAATAAAATTTTAAGATTATTTATTATCCTCCTCTGATTTGACTGACTGGTGGTAATAATATCTTCCATGCATATCTCTGGTATTTGTATTGAGTCATTTCTGTTGCATGTGTTGGGTGTGTAGACTCGATGAACCAGGCGGGATTCAGTAATCAATCTCTTTATCTCCACCTACGTAGATTACTTTTTAGATTTTTAACCCTCTCTCACCGTATTGTGTGATTGCGTGTTAATGCATGGAGTGAAATTGCTGAGATTTTTTCTAAATTACTTATCTTCTCGTGCAATTGCACTTCACGCATTAACAAACAACCACACAATAGGGTGGGATAGGGTTAAAATTCTAAAGAGTAACATAGGTACGTGGAGAGAGAGGTTGATTAAGGAATCCTTATTCATCGAGTCTACACCCAACACATGCAACAGAAATGACTCAATGCGAATACCAGAAATATGGAAGATATTATTACCTCCAGTCAAATCAGAGGAGAATAACAAATAATCTTAAAATTCTATTTCAATTCAAACACATCAAAATATTCTAACAATCAACTTATTATGACTATAAAAACACTCGTCTTTTTTCCCATCTAATTTTAATTGATCAATAACACTCATATTATTATTATTTCTGAATGTACATTATCTCATATTGATTTTTATTCGAATATCTAATCGATTCTACACATGTATATTATAGAAGGAAAAAAGTTGTGTGAGTAACTTGATATGATTATGAGCAATAGTTTATATGCTCGAAATGTCATCAGTTAATATTACTGTACAACACTGTGTGATTTATCAAAATAAAATCTTATCTATAGTAGCATTTTTACACTGGATGACTGACTGACTAGTTTCAACATAAAACTTTGCACACAAGTGCACCAGTTCGAGTTGCCACACTCTCAATGTAGCACCCAAAGCTAAAGAAGACAGTAAAGAGAGATTCAAAGGAGAGATAATAAACAGAAGTGTGAGACAAAAAGAATAGTAATACGTGAGAAAACCATGTAACCATAAATCTGACCGCATACTTTTAGAAGTTCAGAAGCGATTGACTGAGTTTCCAACGTTAACCTATGCACGGAAGTGTAGAATTTCAAGTTGACGCACTTCATTTAGCACACAAAAGTAGATAAAAGAATTCATAGGAGTTATAATAGGTGGAAACGTACGGGAGAAAGAATAAGGATATGAAGAAACATGACACATTGTATGCATCTGTGCCACTGAGAACGATTCTGAGCCATATCACCAACAATCTCCAGCCACTGGTTATTAGTGTCTCTAACAAGGATATATCAAATTAAAACGTGCGAATAACTTGAATTTTATACGAATTAAGTAGATGATACTCTACCTATTGAGAGAGATATGAATATTCTTTTTCATTGCAACAACTATTGCACAATAATTATGTTCACACTTGACACCATAAGCGATCTTGTTCAAATACACAACAAACACGATACAACGAATCAGTGGTTGCAGATATTTAGTGATATAGCTCAAAATCTTTCGCAATGGGGGTAAATAAATTCACTGCTCTCATAAACGACTTGGTGTGGCCGAGACTGGGTAGACTGCAGGTTTCCTCTGGAAATAATCTGATATAGCCACTCATTTATAGCCTCTGCCAGGTAGGCCCTACTCACTGCCTTTACTCGGCAGGGCTTGGGTGTTCCTCACAAAAGTGAGAGGAGAGTGAAAAAGTCAGGCGCCTACAACCGGGTTGGGGGACATACAGCAGCTGCAGAACCCTGATTTTCAAACCCATGGTGTACATAGGCTCCAGAACCCAGAAGGATCGAATCGCATATATGGTCACCGGTAACCATGGGAACGCCCCTGTAAAATGTAAGATGATGCTGCAGGATTGGACTTCATCGACCCCTAGATTAGAAATAGGAAGTGAAGTGGTAGAACACGTTGACCGCTTCAATTACTTGGGAAGTACCATCAGCCCCAACGGTTGATCTCAGACGAAATCTCAGCACGAATACAGAGGGCTAGGTTCGCATACGCCAGTTTTCGCCGTCTCTGGCGTAGACGCGATATCCGACTATCGACCAAAAGGCGTGTGTATTGCTCAACAGTCCGCTCCGTCCTCCTCTATGGCTGTGAGACCTGGCCATTGAGAGCAGAAGACATGAAAAGATTAGCTGTCTTCGATCATAGGTGTCTGCGTTCTATCTCCCGTGTGAAGTGGTATAATAAGGTGAGCAATATTGAGGTTAGGCGTCGAGTGCTAGGTAAGGCGGGGAAATCAATCGACGAAACGATGAAATTACTTCGACTGAGATGGTTAGGACATGTGTTACGTATGCCTAGTCATCGCCTTCCTCGACGGGCAATGTTAGCTGATATAGGGTGAGGCTGGAAAAGAGCTAGCGGCGGTCAAACGAAAACATGGCACCAGTCAATGAAATCCACAACAGTTAGTTTAAGCCACGTAGGAAGATGTAGACTTCCTGGTTGGGGTCCTCGGGATGGTAAAAACCAATGGTTGGAAACAATTGGTGACATGGCTCAAACTCATCGTTCTCAGTGGCGCAGATGCATCCACTCCTTGTGACTTATGATTTCCAATTAAACTGTTCTGTTCTCCGTTATTACTATTCCTTTGTCTCACACCTCTGTTTACTGTCCATATTATGCATTTCTTCTACTTTCTTCTCTTGCTTTGCGTGCTACATAGGTTGTGGCGACTTGAACTGCCGCACATATGTGCAAAGTTCTATGTCGAAAACCGACCGACCGACCGAACCATGGGAACGCAGCTCCACTGCCTTGTGGGTCAGACTTCAAGTCAAAGGCTTGGGGATCAGACTGACCCCTTCACACAACCCGTTCCTAAAATTCTTAATAATACTTATCTAACTGTTCTTTCTCTTTTAGGCTGCCGTCGAATATAATTTCATCAAATTTCCTCTTATGTCTATGTAACATAACAGTGATGAACTTCAGCAGACGGTACCAGAGATATAGTTCATTTGGCACAACAGTCAGATAAAATCATCATTAAAGCTATCGATGTAACTTACACGGTCTGTGCTGAATTGCCGGTAAACATTGTGAACTTTGATTGATTTCCATATTTAGAATCGTCTGAAATTTTACTTTCCTCCTTGCACAGTGGTAAAGCTGATAGTGCATCACTAAATGAAAACGAAGTAAAATAAGGGCAAAAATTTAAAACATGTACTTTCACTGCTATCGATTAAACACGTAAATATAGCGTACAACTTAAACAACTCACTCATCCTAACAAGGCTTAGTCCGTAAGTCTTATTTAAGAGAATGTTCCTTTTTCATAAGAGTTGCTAAACCATAAGATTCAGTTCCTGATTTGTCGGTCAGTTCCAAAAGAGGCGATTACATTATCCCTTGAAACATCTTATGCATCTCTTCAGGATCAGGGGAATTGAAAATACGCGCTCAAGAGAGATATCCTCCAAAGTAAACAACGAGCAAGCACACCCACAAAAGAACTAAGTCAAGCATTTCCTTAGTTCATTTTAGAAACTTGGGAAAAGCAGAGAAAAGACCAGACTCTCTCTCATTATATATATATATATCAAGGGAAATAACTGTATGAAATTAGCTAGTACGTGGCTGTATTTTTACACTCTTGCTAATACTTTGGATAGTCGACCACGCTTAGTGTACAATGGACTAGGCTGGCAAAATAAGGTTACAAAAAACTGAATAGCAGCTACATTTATTACATGAAATGTGACAGCATTGTCTGGTTCTGTGTGGAAAGACAAGTATTCTACCAGTAAGATGCAATTAGTTGCTCAAAAACTGTTAGGTTCTATTCTCTTTTCCTCCTCATCAGGTCGGAACACCTTAGAGGACGTAGCAGGAAAGTTGAAAAGCCAAGAAGAAATCATATTTCTGTTGAGTACTGGTTCTCACACCGAGTCATGAACTCTTGGAACCGACTCCCAGAAGAAGTGGTGTCTGCAACTGACTCATTCAAGAAGGGTCTGAACAACCACAGAAATTTACTAGGAAAGGATTAGCATAGACTCCAAGCCTTCTATCATCAACCAATAAATCTGAAATCTGAATCCTACATTTAACGTGAGCAGTTGTTACAAATGATTGAATCCTGAGGCTTTGAAGACAAACAACATTTGCCAGATAGAAAGATTGGAATGCAATTCAAAGTTTATTTTCTGAATCATCGTCTTATATAATTGGTAGTGAGATTTATCAAGGAATTGTAGGTCTTAAGTAAGAGCTACTGGTATACTGTCTATTAATTCCGCCAAATTTATACGATAACCTCGTCCAAGCAGGAGTTTTGAACCTTGTCAAAATACAACACCTAGATCGGTTGGCTAAGTGGATGGATGTACTGCAAGTAACAATGAGCTGTACGCAATTGAACAAAAATAATAAAACAGGGATGAAAACTACGCGACTTCCTCGCATAGACATGTGATGGAAAGTAATTCAAGATCAACTCCGAGTAAATATTAACGAAAATTGTTGAAATTGCCCAAATAAAACACTCCCAGTTGTGAGTCAAGTGTTTCTCACTACTTACCGCATATTAAACATCGAGTTGACGCCCACTCCGATGCCATTCATTGTATCATCGAAACATGCTGATAAATCAGCCTCATCAAAACTCCATGAAGAGTTCTCAGCCATCGCAAATGCTACAGTAGTTCCACAAACGAAAACATTGGAGTTCTAAGACCGCAATAGTGAAGAAAACTTGTACAATAACCTTCAGAGTTGATTCACCCGCAATACTGAGAGCTTCGATGTGACCTACTTAACAATGAATTCTAAGAGGAAATATTACATAAAGGGTAGACGTTAAATATCACGTTCTAGAACAGCTGTTAAAATTTCACTTGGAAATTTTTTTGTCCAATATCCAATATCCTGATTACGAGCTAGTATAAACCAGTGATTTCTTTGAGCTCGCTTCTTGATTGTAAGGTAGAGGTTCCAGATCTTCGGTGAACTTATGCGTAGTAAATCCCGCCACTCGACTGCTTTAGCTCTGGTAGACTCCAAGAGGAGTGGTGCGAGGATTGGTCAAGATTGGGGTTTGTAGTGTGCAGTATGTTAGGACTCAGCTGCTGCCGTGAATGGAGTCTGACCTAACACCCGTTGGTCATTCGGTGTAGTCATAAAAGTAGAATAGTAATAATAATAGGTTGTAGTGTAGATAATATAGGTTGAGATAAGTGAAATAATAAAGGTGACCTAAGGAAAAGATAAAGTAGTCGGTACAGTGAGAGAAGACAGAACGGGTCGTGGGGATTTAGCTTGTATGCTTATCCATTGACAATGTGGTTTCAAATTTTAAGAGGGTAAGCCATTGAGACACAAACCATGCATTTCTGCATGATACTCCAGCTTCCGCTTAAAAGTCTCCACAGATGGAGCTGCAGTTACGGCCGCCGGTAAAGCGTTCCAGAGACGGCAAACTCGAAGCGAGAAGAAATGTGAACGCACTCGAGTCCTTGGTCTCTGGTGTGCTATCCTTAGCGGGTTACCTCGTGGAAGCCTATAATCACTTAATGGCAGGATGCTCTTATCAGGATGGGCCTGGTCATTTAGGATCTTATAGACGGTGATGAGGTCTCCCCTGTGACTACGGTAACTAAGTGTGAAAAGACTTAATTTCTTCAGTCTCTCCTCATATGATTTGTTGCGGAGGCCGATCACCCATTTTGTTGCTCGTCTCTGGACACTTTCTAGCATGTTAGCATCCCTTTTGAGTAGCGGAGGAGCAATGATATTATGCACCTCAAGGAGTGGCCTCACGTATGTCGTATACAACGTTAAGAATAGTTCAGGAGTAAGAGCTCCCAGCTGCCTATGCATAAAGTGTAAAGTAGCGTAAGCTTTGGCGACGTCCCTCGTGTAATTTACACTGGTGTCTAGCTTTTCTGTTAAAATAAGGCCCACAACTGAAGTTCTGGCCACCAAGGGTGTAATTTGCACTCTGTGACCTGCCGGAATGAAGTTGCGCTACTTTGCACTTCTTTAAGTTGAAAGGCATTCCGTTAGCCAGGGCCCAGTCTCCCAGAGTTTGCAGGTCAGCCTGCAATCTGTCTGAGTCTTCCGATGAGTTTATTGCTCTCCAAATCTTTACGTCGTCAGCGTAAAGAAGCGCAGAGCAATTCAGTTGACAGGGCAGGTCATTGATAAAAATCAAAACCATCAACGGCCCTAAGATAGAACCCTGAGTAACCCCTGATGCCGAGGTGTGCCAGGATGATCAGATGCGGTTGACTTTGGTGCAGAATTCTCTCTCACCTAAATAATCTTCCAGCCATGCGAGAAGTGCTCCAGAAACACCCGCTTTGCTTATTTTGTGAAGGAGCAGACCATGGTGAACTGTGTCGAATGCTTTCGCAAAGTCGAGAAAGATCACATGGACTGGTACCTTTACATCCCAGGATAGTGTCCAATCGTTCCAAGCTAGTAGAAGATTCGTCACACAGGATCTTCCCTTCCTGAAACCATGCAGTGCTTCATGGAGTAGGTTAGTCCCGTCGAAGTATTTTCTCATGTGGTCGTCAATGAGACTTTCCAATATCTTCGATATCACTGGGAGTAGCGCAACTGGTCTGTAACTGGTCGCTTTCTGCCGGTCACCACCCTTGAAGATAGGGGATAGGATGGCTCATTTCCATTCACATGGAAGTTTCCCTACATCAAAGGAGTGTTGAAACAGATCACTTAGGGGTTGGCAAAGACTTTCTGAACACTGCTTCAGGACGGATGGTCTTATGGCATCGCAACCTGCAGACTTTCCCGAAGCCAACTTTCCCAATTTTACGAGTACCATAGCCGGGGTAATTTGAAATGTACCCAGCAGGTTTTCGCACGTTGGTCTTGCATTGTAATCTTGATGTTTTGTGGGGGTAAAATCCTCGTTACTGTTCAGTTGCCTGTGAAAGGCTAGACTGAATGTCTCTGCCATTTCAAGACTAGTAAGAGATTTCCCATCAGAACCCACTATATTGCAAGCTCCCTGGTTGGTCGGTTTTCTTTCAGACATAAACCTGTATAGACTTTTGGGGTTCACGAGAAGCTTATTGGCGAGGTTTCTCTGAAATGTCTTTCTATCACTCCGGACTCGTACGTTACATCGATTCCTGAGTTCGAGGTACACTTCATGTTCGGGTTGACTCTTCGATACTCGCCACGCAAACCAGGCTTTTCGCTTCGCCTGTAGAAGGCGTTGTGTCCCCCTTTTTAGCCATGAACGTTGCTTTCTAGCTTTAGGTGTGACCAAAGGAACAGTGTCTGAGACCGCCTGGTGAATGATCTCCTTTACCACTCCCCAGTGTTCTTGTACTGTAAGCCCTGTCCAATTTTTTGGCCAATTTGCTTCAGACAAAAGTCTTCGCATTTCGGTGTAATTGGCTTTGTTATTACACAGATAGGGCTGTGTATTGTCCCACTGTAAACGCTCGCGGAGGACTATGTCGAATGTTATGACCGCGTGGTCACTACTACCTATGGTAGTCGTGATCTGAACGTTTTCCACTAGTAGCTGGTCACTAGTGAGCACGTAATCTAGTCTAGAAGACTTCCCATCTGGGCCCCATCTAGTATCCATTCGGACATTTTCAGTGAATCCGGCCTCCGTGATGGTATGCAGCAGATTTCGATCAAATCTATCCCGGGCATATTCCGTCATCAAGTTAAGAGATGGGGCATTGAAGTCTCCAGCTATGACAATTTGATCATAACCCATGTCATGTGTCGCTGAAATTGCATTCAGCAGTACCTGGTTGTGGTCTGCTCCACATGAAGGTGATCTGTAAATGCTGCCCACTAGATACTTGCAGTACCCAACGGTGAAATGGCACCATATGGAGTCAGGGAGCTCAATGAGGGGAGGGTCGATTGCATGGACACATCTGAGCTGTTTGTCGACGTATATGGCGACTCCACCTCCCTCTTTCAGATCCCTATCTCGCCTGACAAGGACCATATCATTTATACTGACTTCGCTGTCTGCCACCGTTGGGGTTAGCCGGGTTTCCGTCAGTATTATGATTTTGGAGTTCAGCTGTGATTGTAGGTATCTAAGTTCAGCTATTTTGCCTCTTGGACCTCTCACATTACTGTACAGGCAACTGGTAGTCAGTCTCACCACGTCCCCGTATTGGGGGGTGGTTGACGTGATGTGGGCTGTCGGTTGAGGAGTTATCCTACGAACTAGTTGGCCGATTCCCCGGGAACCGGCCTGTTGGAGTTTTTTTCTTCTGATTCAATCGGAGCACTTGGATGGCACTGGCTATCATCGTCCGTGCTGCACCGCTGTATTGTGACCAGGGGTTGGGGATGTCAATAATTTTTAATAAAATTGTGTTATATGTTATCTGGATTGATGGGAATTCCCATTTTCTGGCCAGTTATTTTGGTGTCCGCGTCATGTAATTTCTAACGCGCGCTCCTTGAATACGACGTGCATTTTTCCGTCTAACAGGAAATATCCACTTTTGTGAATAATTCGTTTGGGAAACCTGATCTTCCTATCCGGCGAATTTTATTCAACCATTTCTTCTTCACCGAGCCTGTGTTTGGTACTTCCCACTGTCTCGAACTACTGCCCAAGCTTCAGGTGCTACTTCTGTAGCAACATCCCCTCACTCTTTCAAATATACAGGACTTGTTGGTCTGTTACGTGATTGTTGTGAAGCCGAATAACCCGAAAGTTACAGGTAAAATCAAAAGCTTTTACTTATATACTTTATCTTTCTGTTCTGTGCTTTCTACTGTCTTTTGCTGTCAGTCTATTGGACAAAACTCCACTCTCTCTTATCATTTAATCATCGGTATTATTTTAGGAGTAAAATGACTATAGATTCTCATCCCAAGATAAGTAATGGGTGACCATGCACCGTAGTCACCAGAGCTTCAGCCAAACTAAGCAAACAGGTGAATAGTATGACACCTATATCCACAGTAGGCCTTGAAACAAACAGGAAGGCCAATAAGAAACGTTCACGACGTCGCAAGACGACGAAAATGTTCCCCAAGAAGGCAGACGATTGCAAGGTCTGCAATTCTATTGTCGAACAAGCAGATTCTGCTTTCGAATGTAACTTTTGTAAGCAATGGGTACATTGTAGATGTGACACCGGAGTACCAAAGGTATATTACGATTTTATGCGTAAGAACCCATGCCCATGGTTCTGGTACATTTGCCCAAGTTGCCGTCCTAATGCAGCCTCGTGTAGTTCCTCGAAAGCTACAGATGTCATAGAGATATCAGGAAAAAACGTGAAACGTTTCACTCCTACCAACTCAGAAAACAGCACAATTGCATGTAAATCGGGGATACCAAAATCCACACCGGTTATACTTGCAATTCCTGCCATAACTGCCCCAGACACAGAGGTTGAAGCACCAAGGGTACCTGTCGCCGGGAAAAGACCCTTACCGTCCACCAGTAAAAGTGGCCACAGCACTGCGACACATAATAATACCCAGTTGCACCAGATGAAACAAAACGGTCTTAAGGGGGATGACAAATGTGCGAGGACCGAACCTAAATCCACGGTCAGTCGATCAAACTGCGTTATCCTCTTTAATGTACCAGACTGTAGCAGTAGTCTGCTGGAAAACAGGGCCCTGTTTGATCAGGAACAGTGGTCCAACTTATGTAGCAC